CAGTACACCTGCAAGAATTATATGTATATGGGGCTGGGGATGTGGCTCAAGCGGTAGCGCGCTCGCCTGGCATGCGTGCGGCTTGGGTTCGATCCTCAGCACCACATACAAAGATGTTGTGTCCGTTTATAACTAAAAAATAAATATTAAAATTCTCTCTCTCTTATATGTATACATTTTTAATTTATGTCCTTATGTCCTTTCGCGGGGCAGGGGCGGGAGTACTAGGGATTTAACCCAGGGCTTCACATATGCTGGGCAAGTTCTCTACCACTGAGCTATGCCCCCAACCCCCCCTTTTTTTTTTGAAAGAATTTTTTTAAAAAATATTTTTTTAGTTTTCGGCGGACACATCTTTATTTGTATGTGGTGCTGAGGATCGAACCCGGGCCGCACGCATGCCAGGCGAGCGCACTACCGCTTGAGCCACATCCCCAGCCCACCCCCAACCCTTTTTGAGACAGGGTTTCCTTATACACAGGCTGGCCTCAAAACTTGAGATTCTTCAGCCTCAGCCTCCTGAATAGCTGGGGTTATAGGTGTGCACCACCATGCCTGGTCCTACTATTTTCCAAATGATAAAAGGGAATTAGAAAGAGCCCTACCCCAAACCCACCCCTGGCATATAAGCACTAATTATTTTATTTTTTTCTGGTGCTGGAGATTGAACCCAGGGCCTTCTGCATGCAAGGCAAGCACTCTACCAACTGAGCTAATACCCCTGGCTCCAACTAATTATTAAATTGATGAATTCCAATAGCATTTCTGGTCACACTTTGTCTCTAGATTTCTAGTCAGTCAACAGGAGGTAATGTGACATCTCACATTTTGCATTTGGTGGCTCCAGTCTGCAGACTTTTCCAGGTGGCTGAAATGTTGGGTCTTAGCTCTTTCTTCTTGGTACTAGGGATTGAACCCATGGGCACTTTACACTGAGCTACACTGAGCGAGCCACATCCCCATCCCTTTTTGAGACAGGGTCTAACTAAGTTGTTTAGGTTCTCACTAAATTGCTGAGGCTTACCTTGAACTTGTCTTCCCAGTTGCTAGGATTACAGCTGCACACCATCGTGCCTGGCTCAGCTTTCACACTAGGGATTTAACCCAGGGCTTTAACATGCGTTGGAATAAACTGACGCTGAACATTTTATTAAGATAAATGCATCACAATATTTGTATTGCACCAACATCTGTCTGTCTATTGCTTCTGATTTCATTAAATAAGTTACATTTAATACAGTGTGAAACAGCTTTCTGCACACTCAAAAATAACTGAAGTGAGGCCTGTTTCTGTGAGGCACACTTGGTTTTCAGGCCCTTGTAGAGCAAGAGCCAGAGCCTGCCTCCCTCTTATAGAAATACTTCATACACATGGACCTTCTGCTCTGCTAGCCTGCCTACAAAGCCAAGTCCAAGTAGTTCCGGCCCCTGTGTCCACACAAGGCCTGGATGCCCGTCTCCGCCCTCCTACAGAACACCAATACCACACTGAGAATTTAATGTAGAATAGATTTATTTACCTGAAACCATGTCTGTGCAACGCTTGTTGTTATAGCACAGAGTGAAGCAAACTGATCTCTATTTACAGTCTAGTCAAACATGCGTTGGGATAAACTGACGCTTAGCATTTTATTAAGGTAAATGCATCACAATATTTGTATTGCACCAACATCTGTCTACTGCTTCTGATTTCATTAAATAAGTTACATTTAATACAGTGTGAAACAACTTTCTGCACACTCAAAAATAACTGAAGTTATGAACTGGAGGCCTACATTTTAACCATTCAATACCTGTAGTGTTTTTAATGAATTTATAAATAAGCAAACTGTACAGGGCCAATTAAAAAGTAGCATTTTCAAGGTCACTGTAGAGAAATCTGGCTACTTACAACTGAAGGCATGCATCATAATTTAATATTGTACATTTATATAAGCTATGACATTTTGCACAGAGAAATGTGGAGACTTGGCTGATTGCTTCTAAGTTGTTAGATAAGGTTTTCAGAACCTCACTGTTCTTGCAGCAAAGAAACCAAACTTCTCTGAAGAGGCTTTCTGATTAGGCTAAATTGTACATTTACATTATTTTGATTTAAAAGCTAAAAACCCCACTGGTAATACACATTTCCTCCACATCACACACGAGTTGGGAACTTTTTCTACTTTTCTTTTTCCCCAACATCAATCATGCAGAGGGCTGGTAGATGTGTTGCTAAAGACGCACATGCACGCAACCGAACACCCTTACATTTCTGCAAAATGGTTTAGGAAGCGGTTACTCCAGTATTGCTGAAAAGGAAAGAGAGAGGAAATCAGCTTCATGAAACATGAGGAAATGTTAGAACAACTACCTGAGAGACCTATAGTGACAACCTTATCTCCATTATTTCAAGAACAGCTTTTCTGATAAACTGTCCCCAAGGCACTGCCCACACTGGGTCACATCTAAAAGCACTGGCTCAATGACAGTGCCCTTGTGTCATCTGCCTATACAGCAAAGGACACCTGACTCAGAATGAATCCTATGAGGCAGAAACTTAAACCATGTCAGGTGTGAAAGCAGTGAGACAGGCCAGAGAAAGGTCTTGGTCAGCCATGCAGAGGTGAGGCAGATGGAGGGGGTGAGCCATGCGACAGCAACATGAGGCCTTCCCGCCCCGCCCTGCCCTCCCTCCCTCCCAAGGGTGGCCAGAGCTGGGGCCCAGCTCTGCCAGTGCTGAAATACGCTGTTGTGCCTTGGCTGCTTATCACCAGTCCCTTGGTAAAGTCCCCAGACTTCCCTCCTTGTGGGCTTCAGGATGTTGGTATTGACAAGATCTGGGTGACCATGACTTCTGGACACCATGTGCCTGGGCTATGGGCAGACACTCCTGAGGTCTGACCACCTCCTTCAGCCACTGAAGAGGCTGCTCAGGTTCCCCTGGCTCTCGACAGTTTCCTCTGGAATGGCCTGTCTGCATCTTTGAGAATGAGCAGCTGGACTGGCACCTGTTGAGGGCACCTGTGAGATGCTCATCTTTTGGGAACAGGGCCAGCAACCCACTGGTGCTCCAAAAAGAATGTAGAGTCAGGTTTTGGGCAAGAGCTGACCCCAGGAGCACGGGAGCTTACAAGGACACTGCCGTCCACTTACTACTTTCCCTTGTGAGGGTGCTGGGTGAAGACAGGGCAGGGCACCAGCGGAGACCTGAGGAGGGCATGTGCCCGTGGTCATGGTGATGCCCTGGTCTTTTTAGTTCAGCTGAGAGCCAGGAGGTGCTTGAAGCTGAAACCACAAGGCAATGGCTAGCCCAGAACAGCCTGGGGTATCTGTGGCTCCTATGGTAGCCCACACCACTCAACTTCTTTGGGTCAAGTCTGCTAAATCAAGGAAAATTCGACTATTTGGTTGTTTGGTTTCCACTGCACAGCGTACCACCCAGCAAACTCTGTGATGTCCTGTTTGGATCTGCAGGTCAGACGCCACCCTTCCACTTGATTTACTTGAATCCTTTGTCATTCATAATGTCCAAAATGGCAAAACTTTTCCCCAACATTCTCTGGTGGGCAAAACTGCCTTGGCTCCTGAGAGTCACAGCTCCCTGTAAGCAGCTCTGAAAGCCTCTGGTGTGCCTGACGGTGACGGTGCTTTTAGAATGTCCACACAGGTGGGCCTCTGAACCCCGGCACCTTCTGCTCGACACCCACACATTCTCCCAACTCCATCTGCATCACCTCTGGCCACGTCAGTGACCAGAACCCGAGGACCTTCTTGAGAGGAGTCAGGGTCTCACAGGAAGGGGAAGCTGCCACAGGCCTCCTCACTCTGGCTAATGGTCAGGCCTGCCGGACTGAGCAGAGCCGGGCCTGCAACTGCATGAACACACCCTTGGAGCTAAGACAAGCTTAGCCACAAAGGATGTGACCCAGATAGGCAAGAGAAGGTGGCCTACTTAAGACAGACCTACTGACGCCCTGTTCACTCTGTCAGTCGCCATGCTGCCAGCGTCTGCTTTCAACGAACAAGGAGCACGTTCGGGGGTAACTTCCTGCAGCTGATAAAGACCCAAAGCCCCCTCACATCTTTTTAGTTAAAATTTTAATTTCTAGATATAGGGGATTAGACCCAGTCACTCTACCACTGGGCCACATCCCCCAAGTCCTGTTTTATTTTGAGACAGGTTTTCACCAAGTTGCTGAGGCTGGCCTGGAACTTGTGATCCTCCTGCCTCCACCTCCTGAGCAGCCGGGATTACAAGTGTGTGCCACTGTGCCTGGCTCATCACACCCCATTCTGGCTGGTGCAGGACCTCCCTGCACCTTATGGGAGCCCTGATCTAAGCAGCATGTGGCATTCATGTCACCTCTGTAGTCAGCTGGTACTGCACCTAAGTCTCCTGTGCCCCTGGCAGCTCCTGTACCCGCCAGGTGGGAGCTGCCATGCAGCACACCATCGAGGACTACCTCAATAGTAGTTTGGTGGCAGTCAGTCACCTTTAGGCTAAAGCATCCAAGTTCCAGAGAAGAAAATACTCACGTTAGTTGATGGATGTTGGAAGGCATTGGAGGAAAACATCACAGTTAGGACTGTTAATGACTCATACACTGTTGGTCAGACTGATCTCGAACATGCTCAAACATTGGTCAGAGTAATGGTGGTGATTAGTGCCACATTCAAATAAAAATAGTTCTATACAATATGTTCATTTGGTCATGTGCTATTTACAGATTTTACAAAACACACACACACACACACACACGCGCGCGCGCACACACACGCTTGCCCTACGTTCCTTAAATGAGGCCAGCAGAGACTTGCATAAAATGTATATTAGATGACAACTTGTGTCTATACATCAAAAAATAAATTCCCCAACTACCTATGCAGCAGAACAGGACCCCACTTTCGCTCAAGCATGCCAAACCGAGGTTCTGTGCTAAGAACTTCAGAGGAAGGTAGACTATCTATCAGATAGTTCGAGGGGAACAACTTAAGAGTTAAGAACAAGACAGTTATTTTCTGTCCATTTAAAATGTTTTATTTTTCTCTTTTGAACTAGATTGTGAAGTGCCATTGAGATCTAGGCAATGTTGGCAAAACAATGTCCGTTACAATAAAATACATTAGACATTTAAATAAATAACTTTAAAAACTATGTGAAGGGACATAAACCCAGTTGATTGAATCTGGAACAATGTTTTCTGCACAAGCGAGACAGGCATACCTCTCATGAAGACTGATGTAAACAGAACCATCAAGACCCTACAGAAGAAGCCGAGCGGGGCGGGGGATGGGGCAGGGTGGGGGTGAATGGAGAAGGTGCGGGAAGTGGCAAACCAAAAAATACTGACTGAGGTAGCAGGACTCTGCTCAGTGCAGAAAAATTGGCTTATGAATAAAAATTAGACTGTGATATCAAATTAAATCCAGGTAATCATGCAAAAAACACAACACATGCTATTTAGTTGGTTTTGTTTTTTTTTTTTTTTTTAAAAACACACATTCGTTTCCTAAAGTCTGCTGCCAATTAATTTGCTGACAATGTCTGCTGGCTCAACTATTTTTATACAAGGATGAGTATTAAACAGAACACTGTACATGCTTTTTCATCTACAAAAAAATATTTGCATAAAATAGTGTTAGTTCTCTGTACATGTCAATGGACACTTTAATTATGTGTATAAAAAAAGGAAAATCTTGCCCCACTGGAGTCAGAAAAAGCAAAACAAAAATCTAGAGTATGAAACCTCCTTCACCAGCCAATATGTTCATGTGAAAATTCAGCAGAAACAGACAGTTGCTTTAAACAATAAAAAATTGATTAAGTTAAACATCTTCTGTATGTAGAGCTGTCAGTCAAGACCAGAACATATCACTAAAGTTAGTGTCTGTGCTATAGACCCAGACCACCAGGGGCATTATGAGCAGCACGAACGGCCAGGAAATCCCATCGGTGCATGCCGAGAACGAGCAGGATTTGGTGGTAGGTTGCACACACTCTTTACCAGGTTCCAGGTAGTTACGGGCCACAAACTTGAGTGTCTCATCCATGAGAATCACAGGCAAGGAGATTTTCAGCACCATCAGCCACTGGGTGAGATTCAGCGGTGTGATCTGGAAGATAAGCTGAAACGAAGCCGCCTCGTCAAACTTCAAACTTGCCAGACAGGGTGCCAGCCACCAGCCTGGGGTCCCACAATCACTTACTGGCAGGGGTTCCACATAGAGGATCAGGAAGTGGAGTGACATAGACAGGCAGATGGAGCCCACAAGCCAGATGTTCTCCCAAGGGGGCATCCTCAGCAAGGACTGGTTTTCAGACAAACTGAAGAATGAGAACAGGGAGGTGAACTCACCAAAGAGGCAAAGGTGTGTGTCAGTGGCATCCAGACACCACACCCAACTACACTTCAGTAAGGTGGATGCTACCTTGGTGTCAGCCTTTGACCTGATTCTAGGGACAAGTTTCCATTGTGGTAAAGTCAAAGAAGACAACACTCAGATGTAGGACAAACTGCCAATTTTATACCTAGGCTTCGGGACAGCAGATCCTATCTCTGCAGGCTCACATCCGTCTTCACTGCCCTGGACTCTTGGGCTATTTAGAAATTTCCATTTTTGGCACTGGCTAATTGGATGATACCATTTGCCTTAATGCTGAAGGGCGAGCGCTCCCCCCCACCCCATGGGTGCTGGCATTCATGTCCTGATGCTATTTCTGGCCTCCTGTTTCTTTTAAAGAAGAGCTCTGAAACACGTGGCTGAGCACTCCCACTACTTCCTGGAGGTGACAACAGCTTAGGCTTTTAAAACCAGTGCTGCTTGTTCTCTTCTCTGTGGGAGGGGAGAACTTTCCTGTGATCCTCCATCGACCATGACAGAAGCCCTAGTGCCCTAGAGGTCAGAGCTCTCACTTCTGCTACTACAAATACTAACCTGTTGAGAGCATTACACATCTCTATGGTTACTAGAACAGACAGCGCCATTGTCATTGGGTACGGGGACTCAAAGATTGCACAATCCACTCCTTCAAAGTCTGGGTTGTCCTCCTTACACTGGAGGAAATGACTCTGCAAAAGTCCAATCAAATTCCAATCAGGTGGGCAGGGGATGTAGCTCAGTTGGTAGGTGCTTGCCTCGCATGCCAAGGCCCTGGGTTTGATCTCCAGCACACATCACCCACCCCCAACCCCCCACAAAATCCAGCAGCCAAATCTCTCTCTAAAGTCCAGGCACCAATCCCACGCCAAGGCCAGAACAGCCAAGGGGTTCACCCTCTCCCAGAGAAGCTCTGGTCCCTCAGAATCATCTCAAATATAAACGTTTGCTTTTGAGCCTTAGGATGATTCAACACACACGCAAATCAGAGAAAGACCAAGGGCCCACACCGCCTCACATGGCAGGTACACAAAGAAAGGGGACCAAATACCAGCTGGTAGTAGGACACTCTTGGACCACCATCAGCAGCGATGAACCACCAGGCAGCAGCACCCACGGTAGCAGCGCCGACGTAACCTGGGAACACACAGGATGCTGGTACCCAGGCCGCAGCCTGCACTACTCGCTGCAGGTGATGCTGCGTGGGCCAATCCCCATGAGAACGGCAGTGAAAGACATGGATACGTGTGGATACTGAGCTCTTGCCGCTCCTCTAAACTGCTTGCAGCCAGCAGCCAGAGGAGCTGGACCACAGGGTTCAGGAAGGACATGGTGTTTACTGTACAGAAGAGCTATGCAATGTTCCCTCCAGAATTTGTGGGGAAAGGTCCTCACTGAGCTCTCCAACCTCCACACTCAGTGCACCTTCTCAAGAGTGTGTGCTTTAAGTCTGTAGGCACGTCGTCTACATAAAGCCACAGCTCTGGGGAACCAGGTCAAACTGTAACTTCTGGGCAATCTGATGCTGTCTAGTAGATGACTTATTTGTCCCATTAAGGCCTAGCAGAAGCAGAACCTTTCCACGGGAACTCTCTCAGAAGAGCAGACCCCAGCACACTCTGGGGCATTCTCTTGGTACCTCTGAATTCAGGGAGTTCATTTCAAGGAAGCAACAGAACAGACTTCAGGTGAACCTCATGGTAAGATCCACCAAAAATCACAAGTGCACATATGCATAACCCAAGAATCACATGGAGCACTAAGGCAGCTGGATACAAGAAAGATGCAGCTAGGCACAGTGGTGCACACCTGTAATCCCAGAGGCTCAGGAGGCTGAAGCAGGAGGATCATGAGTTCAAAGCCAGTATCAACAAAAAAGTGAGGCACTAACCATCTCAGTAATACCCTGTCTTTAAATTAAATAAAATAAAACTAGGGCTGAGGATGTGCTCTGTGGTTGGGTGTCCCTGCCCTTGAGTTCAATCCCTGAACCCCCGCCACCCCCCCCCCAATAAAAAAAGATGCAGCTGCACGTGTACTCCAGATGGGAAGAGGGCAAAGCAAAGTCCCCCATGCAGGCAAGTACAGCATGCTGTCATTTTTATGAAGCAAAGGGGACTGCTCGTCTGCTGGAGTCTATGGAAAAGAAAACAGTCCGTGACAAACTGTTAAGGCTGGAGAGAACTGAATGGCTGAGAATCCCTCCTCCCTAGGCCCATGTGCGTTTTGAATTTTGAATGTGTCATTAAAACTAAATACCTTGCTGTGAGGTTTTGTTTTTTGCTTTTTGGTACCAGGGATTGAACTCAGGGGCACTCAACCACTGAGCCACATTCCCAGCCCTTATCTTATTTAAAGACAGGGTCTCACTGAGTTGCTTAGCGCCTTACTTTTGCTGAGGCTGGCTTTGAACTCAGGATCCTGAGTTGTGGGGATTACTGCACCCAGCTCCCGTGGGATCTTAAGGAAGTGGCCTCATCTTTCTGGGCCTTACTTCCCTAACCTATGACCTGGGGAAGAGGACCAAGCCCTGGTCAGGAACATGAGTTCTACAGAGAGATGTTATATACAATAGCCTTGCCTGCACCAGGAGTTGGTGATGTGCAGTCATCCCTTTTCTCTTTCTTATGGAAGTGGGGATTCAGTTTCATCCCTTGGTGCTAATTATCTACGAACTGAAAGAGGACACCCTTCATTTTTTGCTACCCTAATATGGAAATAGGAAACAGATTCTCTAAAGGGATAAATTTACAAAACATTGACCCATAAATATTTTGTTTAAAAATCAATGTAAAAACTATACTCACAGCCAATAGCCAGGTAACGGAAAAACAGCCACCCACTGATAAGTGGCTCCTTTGGGTTCCGGGGTGGTTTATTCATGATGTCCAGGTCAGGAGGGTTGAACCCTAGTGCAGTGGCAGGCAAGCCATCGGTCACCAGGTTGACCCAGAGCAGTTGGACAGGAATTAAAGCCTCAGGAAACCCAAGGGCTGCTGTCAGGAAAATACTGTCCCCAAGGAAGAGAAGACAAAGACCTCAAGTGACTTTGGGGAACTTTAAATAGCACCATCACCCCTCACCTCCTCCATGCAACCCACAACAGACAGCAGCAAGGATCACCTGCGATAAACTTAGGCAACCACAGAACATCAATGACACCCCAATTTTGTATTAAAGGTAACTTTTAGAGAAAAAAGAACTTTATCTGGACCCACCAGACAACTTCCCCTACATTCGAGGAGATGAGGTAGCGAATGAACTGCTTCATGTTGTTGTAGATGGCCCGTCCCTCTTCCACAGCAGCGACGATGGTAGAGAAGTTGTCATCCGCCAGGACCATTTCAGAGGCAGTTTTAGCCACTGCAGTGCCGGAGCCCATGGCAATGCCAATCTCAGCTTTCTTTAGAGCAGGAGCATCATTCACACCATCGCCAGTCTGAAAGGGAAACCCATGGTTGGTTGGGACACCTGCTGTGTGACATTCATACCTCAGGGCAAAAGCTCACTGATCAGGTAAAAGGGACATCAGTGGGTCTCTAGGTGAAAAATTGTAGAATTCCTCTAAGTTGGTGTTGAAAACTTTACCAGAGACCTCAGAGAGAAATGAAACAATGGGAACTTGAAATTTACACCAAAACCAAAAATACAACTTATGTGGTAGTCAAGATGAATCCACATGGGTAAAATTCAAGAAAAAGGCAGATTTCTTATAAAATTCAAAGACATGCAAAAACACTGAATACTCTATAGATTTATATATATATATAGATAGATAGATAGATAGATATAGATATAGATGTATACATATATATTTTCTCATTCCCATGTCTGCTTTTCATACTTTTACTAATCTCCAATTTCAAAATAGTAGTTACCTATTGGGGAGGGAAGAGATCATTTCAAAACCAAAATTACTGTCTTTAGAAAGTGAAGTCATAAGTCTGGCATAGTGGCACAGGCCTATAATCTCAACTACTTGGGAGGCTTAAGGTAGGAGGATGGTAAGTTCCAGGCCAGCAAGGGATGGGGTGGTATGTCAGTGGCAGCACATTTGCCTAGCTTGTGTACAACCCTTGGTTCAATCCCCAGCATCTCAAAAACAAAACAAAATGGAAAGCATAGTCATTAGCAAAGCTAATTTACAGTGGGGTTATCCAATACTGGGTGACAGACCACTGGTCCATTATATCCCAAAAAAAACCATGTTTGAGTTGATAAGATGCATCTTTTTTTTTTTTTTTTTTTTTTTTTTTTGGTACTAGGGATTGAACCCAGAGACACCACTGAGCTATATCCCCAGCCCTTTCTATTTTGAGACAGTTGCTTCGGGCCTCATTAAGTTGCTGAGATTGGCCTTGAACTTGGATCCTCCTACTTTAGCCTTCTGAGTCACTGGGATCACATGCACTATGCCATTACACCCAGCAAGATGCAAACACTGTGGACCCTTAACTAAGACAAGGATATCACCAAACAGTCCCTCTGGTTTAAAAGGCCTTCCTGGGTCTTAAATACTCTAGGATTTTACAACTTGCCAACTACTGATGAACTGCTAGCATTTCAGAGAAATCGCCTGGAGATCAGAACAAAAGAAATTCCACATTAGGGAGCTGTAACTAAAATTTTAATGATCAAAATCAGGATCTGCAGGACTTGTTCCATGGGAAGCCTTTGTCCGTGCACACTCACTCACCATGGCTGTAATTTCATCGAAGGACTGAAGAAACTCCACAATCTTGGACTTGTGGGAAGGCTCCACTCTAGCAAAGCAGCGGGCGTTCAAGCAGGCGTCTCTTTGGGCTGGGGGGCTGAGTTCATCAAACTCCCGGCCTGTAAAAGCCTTTGCCGTCACATCCTCATCCTGGCCAAAGATGCCGATGCGACGACAAATGGCCACAGCAGTGCCCTTGTTGTCCCCTGTGATCATGATAACACGGATTCCTGCTTGCCGGCACAGCTTCACAGAGGAGGCCACTTCAATTCTGGGGGGATCTAGCATGCCCACGCAGCCCACGAAGGTCAGATTGGTCTGAAGCAAGAGAGCCACAATGAGTTAAAACAGGAATTGTGTTGCCCACAGGCTGAACTAACTACTACTGAGCTATATCCCTAGCCCGTTATTTTCTTATGAGAGAAACAGGGGGAAAAAAAGTCACTAAACACCCTTGTTACCAAATCATTCTTTAAACTCCTTCTGAGGAGAAAAGTGGAAAAAATTCCCTCAACTTTCAATATGCAATGAATTATTTTAAAACAATCCCATTAATGTTTTTTAAAGTTTATGTGAATTTAAAAAGTAAATTTATAAGCTTATTTAAGCTCATCTTGATTATTCCACCTTGAAAGCAACAGACTTTTATTTAATTGCTAACTACCTATTTTCAGAGCAACAACTTAAATCATTAAGGGGGTGACGTGTGTGGCCTGTGGAAAAACCAACTGCCACACCCTGTCCCTGGTGAGATCACCCAACCTCCTACTGGAAACAGCAGAGTCTGGACACATGCCCTGCAGGTGTGGGAGGAGACCATCAGCTACCTCATACTTAATGAAGTTGGCAGAGTCCTCCAAGTGCATCTCTTCTCTTCGCAGAGGGTTGTCATGAGTGGCCAGGGCCAGGCACCGCAGAGTGTCGCTGCCACTTCCCCACTCCCGAATGACAGACATGATCTTCTGTTTGACTCCAGGGGTCATGGGAACCTTCGTACTCCCAACTCGAATGTGGGTGCACCTGTCAATGACACCTTCAGGAGCACCCTGGAGATGTTAACAGATTTACATCAACAGTTTCACTTGCTGGCTCTCCAGGATCTTTACTCTGAAAAGAATACGTCAACTACAACCTTTATACTTGCCTTCACAAACATCTTGCTCATGGATGTCCGGCTTGGTTTGTTTGGTGTACAATAGACTGACATTGATTTTCTATCGCGTGAAAACTCGAGAGTGAATTCCTTTTTCATCAGCTGTTTAATGACCTATAAGGAGAACAGAGACTGCTGATGATGACCATCTCTGCACAGCTTCAACCTGCAACTCAACAAAATGCCAGGGGATGGCACTGAATAGATTTAACCCTGCCCCCTAATCTGGGAGGTAGTAAATTTTAATTTTACATTCTAGTGCTACGCTGGAAAAAAAATTAAGACAAGAGAAGGGGATAGAAAATTGTTTCTAGAAGTTCTAGAAGGTGGCAATGGGAGCAAACCCCAAAAACAGTCCCAGTGTAAGCCAGGTGGTGGCAATGGCGAAGCTCCATTAGACAACATGCAGCCTGGTGTGTTCTGAAGGCCAGTGAGGCTGCAACATAAGGAAGGACTGATGGAGACAGCTCAGATCGGAGTCCCTGCAGATCCTTTAGTGCAATGACATGACTAGGCAATGCACTGGAGGCAGAGGCAGGTCTGCCCACCATGCTCTGCAGCGATGGCAATGCTGCGGCACCTCAACAAACTATTATTAGCCTTATGCATTCTAAATAGTGTTAGGCAGCTGGCAGCCACAATGAGACTTTAGCACATCGATAGTATTTAAACTTATAGGACCAGAGAGAGCCGAAGACCAGATGTGGGGCCTCCTACTCCTGGTGGGACATGGAAGACAGCCAGAGCCGGTGGGAGGGAGGAGCCTGGAGTCCTGAGGGCCAAGTAGAGTATTGTTTTAAGGAGGGAGGAAGCCACAATGCCAACTGGTCAGCTTTAGACAGGACTGAGGACCTTGAGCTCTACACTCTTAGCTGCAAATACATATTTCTGCTTTTCTGATTTTTTTCTCGTCTGTTGCGTAGTCTACGACAGCCTGAATAGAGATCCTCAGTGGCTCTGTTGCCACTGAGCACACCAGCACAGGCTCTGCCTGAACACCCGACTCCTGAAGACATGCCCAACTGAACTGATGAGAGACGAAATTTTATCAAGTGTTTTTTTTTTTTTTTTTTTTTTTAAATCAAGTGCTTTTTTTTTTTTTTCATCCAAGGAGATTTTGGCCTTCCACCATTTTTTGGTTATATGATGAATTATATGGCCTCCCCGCCTATCAGATACACACTTATTAATTATGGAAATCCCCAAGAACCTCAGCATCTCATCTAGGAAGCTGCCCCACAACCAGAGTGTTGAGCTGGCCTGGGCTAGGAGTGTCAAGATCACCCTACCAGCCACTGAGCTGCCATAAGTGGCAAAGGGAAAGGTGTAAGCACTGAATCCTACACCTGGATCCTGTGTATGTTGTGTGCTTTAAGCATTTATATCAACAATGGCTCTAGAAACATGCCGTGACTCTGAGCAAGTGGTGGATCCACACAAGGAAAAGGTCCTGGTAGAGGAATAAAGACCAAAGTGAATTCTTGCAGTGTGGAGCTGGTCAAGGGTGGCAGCCCTAGCCAAGCGGGCAAACAGCTGGCCTTGGTCTCTTAATTGACAGGCTCTTCTCTGAGTTGGGAAGGGGAACATGAGGACTTTGCAGCAAGTGAGCAGCACCACGATCACTTCTGGTCCCTTTGCCAAGCTGTTCCACCTGGCAGATGATTAAAGGGGCAGTCCTGCTTGTACTTGTGCCGGTCACCCTGGTGGCTAAGGTACCACTTTTCAGTTCCATGGTGCCACTTGCTTCTCCTTACTGAGCAGGTATAGTGACTAGAGTCAAATAGCTGTAAACCTGCATGTGAAGCCAAGTTTTTGGGTGGCCTCTGATAGTTGTAGCAATACCACTCTCATGTCTGGCTTTGAAAGGACTTGCCTGCTTGCTTACCAGCTGCCAAGCAGTGGTTTTAACTGAGGTCTGAGATTGGACAGTCCCAGTTTCACACCAGCCACACAAACAGGGAAAGGATGCTGCGGAGCTGCCCCAGGCCTTCACAGCTATGAGGATATTTGTCACTCAAGTACTTGCCAACTGAGACAGACACTACACTTCAGCAGAGACAGTTTAATTCTGGGGAGGCAGCAAAATGATGCAAAGGAAAAACGGGTGCTGGGGTGGGAGGCCACCAGGCAGGCAGGCTGTGTCACCTGCCTGCAGGGGGTCAGACTGTTCTTCAATGCCTCAGACTCTATGTGGTCACTGAAATGCTTTTGTGAAATCCTTAGAGAACAGGTGGATCCCTCAGGGTGGTGTTGCCCTAGTCTTCCCTAACACACTGCATTTTGATTGATCTGGTTTGCTAGGAATAAAAGGGTGACTTGCAAAAGCTTAATAAATGTACCCATAACTGACCATTTAGTAGAAGCGAGTCTTTCCTTTATACAGCTTGCTTTCTAAAGAAAGAAAAGAAAGCAAACAAGCAGGCAGGCAGGCTTTTTACCTCTCTCTGGTAACTGTCCCCTACCCTCATGTCTCCAAATTCTACCAGGGAACCCTACAGACCAAAGTTCTACAAAGGTCTCAAGTACCAATCAGCAGCCAGCCACCTGGTGATGACAAGCCTGACATCTAGGAGAGGTGTACCTGACCAGGCAAGGTGGTATACACCTATAATCCCAACTATTCAAAAGGCCACTTGAGCTCAAGAGTTAAAGATTAGCCTAGGCAACATAGTGAGACCTTGTTTGTCCCCAAAAGAGAAACTTCTAGCAGAGCCCGATTACACAGGAATCCAACTGCAGGCAGAAGACAGCGGTTACACAGGACTAGTTCTTTGCTGGCCATTGGGCTGGAGGACCCAAAGGAGGATCTATCTCATGCCTGTACAGGGTCTGGAGAGCAGGTAGCTGGTTTCCACACTGGTACAGGGAGCAAGGCGCTGGGGTTAACCACAGCTCTGCTACCTAAGCAACTGGTCTCTCAGAGAAACAGCTGCAGTACAGCCTGGGACTGGGTGTTGGCTTACTGGGATGGGAACCAAATGCAACTGGGCCTGACTTCTATCCTGAAGTTTCTGCTGTTCCTGCTGGAGGCTCTCCCTTCTCCAATACACACCCCCCTGGCTTCTGCCGTTGCCATTCCTCAGTCTCCTCAGCTTGCTCTTGGCCTCATGCTGCTGCTCTACCACCACACAACATGGTGTTCTCAACCCATCAGCACAGCTTCCATTACTACTGCAGCTTGTCTATACGCTGACTCTCATCCAAGCAGTTATCCATCACATCAGTCAGGACGGGACAGAAGGGGATGTCCTTTACATCTAGTCCCTTCTGGATCTTGGTCTGAGCAGTGACATGCAGAATGACCAGTCTGGGGCTGAGGAGATCCTAGTGCTGATAGCCACTGCAGACTATTTTTACTTAAGTCTAGCCTCACTAAATTTGTGAGACCACAGAAACTTAAGAACAGTACAACAACAGAAGAGATTAGCATGGCACCCTGGGGCAGCAGCTCCCGACTAGGACCCTTATGAGGCTCAGTTCCAGTCACTGTAGGTCTCCATCCTTGCTACTGGCCTTGGCCATGATAATGCTGGCTGAATGAGGCCTGCTTAAAGACAGAAGGACAGGACCTGGGAGGCCACTCCTTTGTTCACCACTCAAGAATGCCCATGTTCTCTACCACTCCAACAGATCTCTAACAGAATTATGTTGACATCATCAAGTGAGTCAATAAATATTTTCTTCCCTTCCCCTTATTGAAGTCTATGTAAAACTTGTATTATTTCTTCCTTAAATGTATTTTTATTTTTTAAAAAATATTTATTTAGTTGTAGATAAACACACAGTATCTTTATTTATTTTTATGTGGTGCTGAGGATCAAACCTAGTGCCCCACATATGCAAGGCAAGCGCTTTACCACTGAACTACAGCCCCAGCCCCTTAAATGTATTTTTAGTTGTTGATGGACCTTTATATTTTTTTATTTATTTTTATGTGGTGCTGAGAATTGAACCTAGTGCAAGCACTCTACCAATGAGCCATGACCCAGCCCTTCCTTAAATGTTTAACAGAACTGGGCATACTGTGTTTATTGTGGAGGCAGATTTTAAATTACAGCTTCTTTTAAACCATCACTGAAATTTTCTTGTGTCCACTTAAGAAGTTGTGTCCCTGAAGGGCTGGGTGAATTTCTTCTGTTGAATACCCGCCATCAGTGTTGAGGACTGAACCTGGGAGCACCCTTCCACTGAGCCGCATCCCAACCTCTAATAAACTTATTGATGAAGTTAATAATTCACTTTTTTTGGGTGCTGAGGATTGAACCAGGGCCTTGTATAATCTAAAGTACACTGTCTACCAAACTAAGCTATATCCTAGCCCTGTTAACTGGTTGCTTTCTTTTTTGGACTAGAGACTGAGCTCCATCGCCACCCTATTTTTATTTTGAGACAGGGTCTCTCTAAGCTCTGAGGCTAGCCTCAAATTTGGGATCCTCTTGGCTCAACATCCTGAGTTGCTGAGATTACAGGCATGCATCACCATGCTCAGCTCCCACAACTGATTTTTGACTTTATTATTTTACTTTTTCCCCCCCAGTTGTAGATAAATAAATAAAGATATTGAGTCCATCTATTTTTAATATGTATTTTCTAGTTGTTGATGGACCTTTATTTTATTCACTTGTTTATATGTGGTGCTGAGAATAGAACCCAGTGCCTCACACGTGCAAGACAAGTGCTCTACCACTGAGCTGCAGCCCCAGTGGTAGCTCAGTGCTAGATACTTTTACTTTCTTAAGATAGAAGATTTTTAGGGGCTGGGGTTGTAGCTCAGTCATGAATGCTCGCCTGGTATGTGAGAGGCACTGGGTTCGATCCTCAGCACCACATAAAAATAAATAAATAAATAAATAAATAAGGTTGAGGTATTAAAAAATGTTTTAAAAAGTTTTATCATTGATTTTTAACATTTCTTTTCTAAACTAAGTATTTAATAAATTTCCCTTGAACAATGCTTTAGAATCATATGGTGTTATGGATATTTAGTTCAAAACATTCTACCTAGATTTTAGGTAGGTTGGTGGCACACAATTGCAATCCAGCTGCTCAGGAGACTAACAAAAGAGGATTTCAACCTCAAGGCCAGCCAGCGAAACTCAAGAGAGAAACTGTCTCAAAATTAAAAACAAAATGGGCCAAGAATGTAGCTCAGTAGTACAATGTCTCTGGGTTCAATCCCCTGTACTGATAACAATAAAATCCCCTCTAATTTCCACTATGGCTTTTCTTTTTTGACCCATTCCTTGGGAATTTGCTGAGTCTTGCTTCATTCTATGGACCAGCAGTACCATCTACTCAGGTGAATGATCCACGTGCATTTGAGAAGCATAAGTAGCAGCATAACAGAAATACAGATTTGGTGGCATCTACTATTGTTCAAATCTCTTGCATTACTACTGTTATTTCCATTTGCTTATTATTAAACTGATCAGTAAGATAATTGCATTAAAACCTCCAATTCTTATTGTAGAGTTTTTTTTTTTTTTTTTTTGGGGGGGGGGCGGTGGCCAGGCTGCTGTTACTGAGGATTGAACTCAGGGGCAACTCAACCACTGAGCCACACCCCCAGCCCTATTGCATATTTTAGAGACAGGGTCTTGCTGAGTTGCTTAGCGGCTTGCTTTTGTTGAGGCTGGTTTTGAACTCACACTCCAGCTGCCTCAGTCTCCTGAGCCACTGTAGACTTCTGTTTCACTTCACACTTTCACAAATCCTTGCTTCATGTGCTTTACATAAATAATGTAACCACTGGATTTAGCACAATATCATAGGTAACTGACAGTTGTTTTTTTTTTTTTACGATACCGATGTGGGGTGTGGGGGGGTGTGGCAGGGAAACAGCGGGGATTGAACCCGGGGCCATTCTACCACTGAGCTACATCCCCAGTCCTTTTTATTTTTTGAGACAGGGTCTCCCTAAATTTGCCTAGGCTGACCTCAAAACCTGTGATCTTCCTGCCTCAGCCTCCCAGGTTACTGGGATTATAGGCTTGCGCCAGTACATCCAGCTAGATGTTTATGTGCTAGTGGAGACAAGAGCTTGTTTAAAGTGGACTCAAGAAAACAGAATGACACAGAATTAGTACATAAAAACAGCTCTTCCTCAAGAAGTTCTACTGTGTAAGAAAAGAAAGTGGGATGCTGATGGGAAAATAAGGTTAAAGGAAAGTTCTAAGATAAAAACATTCTATTATTTCCCCCTTGCTAAAGATGATCATCTAAGAGCTGGATACTGAAACAAGAGAGATGGTAGGAGGCTTTTGCTGGAAGCAAAGACAGCCCATTCACAGCACCCTGGGAGAAGGCATCTCATGAACACAGAAGATTGCCCCTGGTTATCTACTGATTGCTTTTATTTTCTTGGTCCAATGGATAACAAAATTGTTTTACCTAATCAAACATAGGGACAGAAAAGTTGCATATTTGAAGAAAGAAGGTATAATGAGTTGTTCAAGAGAGCGAATGAACTAAGTATATATTGTACTGATGGCCAAATACTAACCGAGTTGCAGGCATTTGCACGTTCTATTTTAGAAAGACCCTTCAATTCAGTATCAAATACATTCATCTTTTCTACCAGGCAAGTGAGAGCAGTCTCCGTAGCTTCTCCAACTTTTTCGTACACACCTTTTGCCTGTAATGATTAAGAACACAGAAAGTGAAAAGGGAGAAGCAGCAAACAGGTAAATTTCTCTTTCGTATTCTAAACAGCAAACATTTGTCTCTGATGGAGTGCCCTGCCTTTGAGATAAAAAGCAAAGGATTTACCTTACTATATGATAAAAAAGTTTTTCTGTTGGCTAAATCAAGGACATATGTTTATCTATCTTAAGCAAAATCAATACACCAGGCTCTCAGGAAAAATTCTTTCTAACCTGGGTTTTATTCATTTACAATAACTGGTGTCAACAGCCAAGATCATCACACACACCACAATTCTTAGTCAAGGAACTGCAATACTCAATCATAAGACTCTAGGAAAAGATGCTCAGCTTTTTTTTTTGGCTGGTCATGCCTGACAAACAGGCTCTTGAATGGAAAGGGGAAATAAATAAAGCCTTCAAAAGGGAGGAAGGCTGGATTTTCATTCTACCCACCCACAAGGAAACTCCAGCTTCTAGTTTCTCACTAAGATTCTTACCTCATTATAATCCAAAGCAGAGTCATTACAAAGAGCACAAATTGTTGCTAATTCTACAAGACCATCATATTGATGACATTTCACTGGTTTATCATCTTTATGCCTAACAAACAAGAAAATATTCTTGGATCAGTGTCATCTCTGCTGATACCCCTCCCCAAAATTAATAATGAAAAATAGAATTTCTGAGACCACAGACTTGAATGCATTCAAAAGAATTTGATGGCTCTTTGAAATGTGATGCTGAAGCTGGGCACGGGCTTGCAATCCTAGTAACTCAGGAGGCTGAGGCAGGAAGATAACAAGTTCAAAGCCAGTCACAGCAACTTAGTGAGACTATGTCTCAATATAAAAAGTGAAACTGTGGATGTGGCTCAGTGGCAAAGCATTCCTGGGTTTAATCCCCAATATTACCCTCACCCCAAAAGAATGCATCTCTGTATCTCTGTTAATGGGAAATCAGTAAAAGAAATTCTTTATCAATTAAACTCCACCACTGGTATCAATGAAGAATAAAAACCCCACTTGAAATTTTGAGCTTTTAAAGGGAGCTAAATAAAGATGAAAAAGATGACTGACTTATAACTTTTGTTGTCTTTCACCAAATGTGCTATATTTTGTTTTTTGGAACACTGCCTTACACCACATTCAGAATGCCACCTCAGTTTTTTGTTTATTTTTTGTGGTGCTGGGGATTGAACTCAGCCCTAGTACATGCCAGGCAAGTGCTCTACCACTTAGTTATCCCCCCAGCCCTATCTTAGCAAACCAACACAAACACCACAGTGCCAAACAGATCCTGTATGTGAAAAGCAGGATGGGTCACTCACACTTCTCCAATGGGTGCATATGTTGATCCGGTTATGGTAAACTCATTGAGCGAACAACTATCACCTTCAACTCTGTCCAGAATGAACATCTATAAGGGTAAAAAGCATAACATTATTTAACAGATACAAAAAGTCCTGCTTAAAAAATTGATCTTTGGGGGGCTGGGTTGTGGCTCAGCAGTAGAGCGCTCGTCTTGCATGCATGAGACCCTGGGTTTGATGCTCAGCACCACATAAAAAAAATGAACGAGTGAAATAAAGGTATTGTGTCCAACTAAAAAAAAAAAAAAAAAAAGATCTTTGGGGGCTGGGGTTGTGGCTCAGATGTAGGGTGCTCACCTAGCAAGTGCGAGGCCCTGTGTTCAACCCTCAGCACCACATAAAAATAAATAAATAAATAAAGGTATTGTGTCCAACTACAACTAAAAAACAAATAAAAAAAATTGATCTTTGGCAGTTCAATGCAAAAACAAACAAACCAAAACCTTCTTATTTAATAATTTTAATCTACTTCATTCATCCCATCCCACTCTCACCTACCAGTCTGAGAAACAGCATCAATGAGATGCTAAATCATTAATTTGCAGCAGTGGTAACAGATACAGACAGACAAAAACCTAAGATAAAGACTATGGGTCAGCAAAAGGTCAATTCTACCGACTTGGGTTTTTCTTTAGAATGCTCAGAATTCCAAATTTCAACTGGCTGAATGAGAAAGTAATATTAGGTACTCTGTATTTAGAGCAAAGCATAAAAGCTTGGAAAGAATAAACTCACATTTCAAGAGTTGCATAAACATTCCCTGAGTAAAATAAGACAAAGTGCTTCTCTGTACCTTCCCACTCACTTTATTATGGTAATAGCTCATTTTCTATGAAGGTATATAACTAGATGTATACAGTAAGGAGCCAACAGGGCTGAATGAACTGTGTCCTCTTGACAATACAGATGGAGGCTGGCTCAAGCAAAGCACTGCTCCCCCTCCCGCGTTCCCCCAATGCTCAGCATGCATACTAGGCAAGTGCTGCACAACAGAGCTCCACCCAAGGGCCAGAAAATTCTTAATATTACGGAGGAATCAAGTGACGTGAGCTACTTTCTTACATAAATTTTTTTCTTGGTTTGCTTCCAAAATATAATTCAGAAGCCCAATTTACAAGAATAAGATTTAGACTTGTAGTTTCATTACAAACTGAAACCATAAACCTTTCTAAAAAACAAACTCCCACAAACTCCAAAGAAACAAAAACACATCTCAACTATACAAAAAAGAAAAAAGATTGGTTTTTCTGAGCTGTACTCCTAGTGACACAAGAGGTTGAGGAAGAAGGATTTCAAGTTTAAGGCTTAGTTAATCCCTGTCTTTTTTTTTTTTTTTTTTAAGTGGTGCTTGGGGATTGAACCTAGGACCCTGTGCATGCAAAGCAAGCACTCTATCAACTGAGCTATATCCCCAGCCCTAAACTCTGTCTTAAAATAAAAAGGGTTGGGGATGTAGCTTTGTGGAAAACACCCGTGGGTTCAATCCCCAGAACTAAAAAAGAAAGAAGATTCACATTTAATGATAAAAAAAAAATCAGCTAATTTTTAAAATAACTTATTTTGTCCCACAAGATTTACTTCTTATACAGCAGATACTTTTAAATTCCAAAGGCAGACTCAGAAATAAAACATCACTGAAACGGAACTAAAAAGCTATGAGTAAGAAAGACATCACAAGGTGATTTAAAAATAAAATTTAAAAATCCACACATAAAATGGAATTCAAAACAGTGATAACTCTAGAGCAAAGATTCTAGTTCAAATAATTTGTCACGAGTTTATAACTACTCTGTCAAAAAGATTTATAACAAGGTCAGTCATAGCATGCTGTCCCAACTCCTGCCATATTTTTTCGAACACACAGACCATCTAATAAACAAAGTTTGTCAAAAATACTTTAACAGCATCAACCCCCAACTCTATTAAAAAAATTGTTTTCCCCAATGATATTTGGCATTTTATATACCCAATTACTAAGTGGGCCAGGTTTAATTAACCCATTTTTCCTACAAGAAAATTCAACTTTGCCTTTTATTCTAAAAGTTGGGTCACTCTCAGACCTGTCACTTAACTTCTCAGCCTTAGTTTTCTACTTTCTCGAGCAGGACTGTCAAACATTTAAATAATGTTACATATGAAAACAAATTAACTGCACTAAATAGAAATCAAAACAATGGGGCATCATTACTACATACTATTTTTTTTTGTTGTTGTTGTTTTCCTTTTTATGGTGCTGGGGATGGAACCCAGGGCCTTGCGCATGCAAGGCAAGCACTCTACCAACTGATATATCCCCATATCCCCAGCCCTCATGCTATTTCTTAATGATACTCCATCTGAAATTCCACTTGGCATGCCTGCAATACCAACAACTCAGAAGGCTGAGGAAGGAGGATCCAAGTTCAATGCCTGCCTCAGGTACTTAAAGCAAGTTAGTAAGACCCTGTCTCAAATTTTTTTTGAAAGGGATAAGGCGGGCTCGGTCGGGCTCGGTGACACAAGCCTGTAATTCCAATAGTTCGGGAGGCTGAGGCACGAGGATCTGAGTTCAAAGCAAGCCTCAGCAAAAGCAAGGCGCTAAGTAAGACCCTGTCTCTAAATAAAATACAAAATGGGCTGGGGATGTGGCTCAGTGGTTGAGTGCCCCTGAGATCAATCCCTGGTACCCCCCCCCAATAAATAAATAAGTAAATAAAATTAAAAAAGGGGTTAGGGACAGAGCTGTAGGGTGTATTGGGTGGAGGGAAGTGAAATTCCTTGGATTTATAACAGAGTATAATATATTCTAGAAGACACTCAAAATTCTAATCCATACCACCTAACTTTAGAAATGTGCTTGGGCATTCAGACTGTGACCAAGTAAACCATTTAGGATCTGCAGGGTGGAATTGTCTTAAGTCAATGGTAGTTACATAACACCTCTGCAAACATTGTGCAGAATACAACTCTACATCAGGTTTCTGCTGGGAGGCAGAACACAACTCAGAAAAGACAGCCCTTTCCCTCTACTGTAAATAAAAAACAATCTGAAGAAGAATAAAAGAAGATAAGAGCAACAACAATAATAACAATAAACTAGGAAACTGAGAACAATTTCATTACATTAATTCAAATACATTAGTTTCTTTCATGGATGTAACAACTATTCTGAGGAATTAAAACTTCAGGGGCTAAATTTATTTGGGGGAAACGAAATTATAAAAACAATTTCCATTTCTTTGTTTCAAACAACTAGTATAACAAAACTAGCTTCTGACTAATTCTCCAACCTTTCAGTTCTAAGAAAAATGAACTAACTACACCAATCTACCGCCCCAGAGAGAACCAAGGAAAACTTAGAAGCTCTTTAAGAATCTGACCTCAATTCTAAACCTGGGTTTGGACCTCTCAAGATTGGGGATTGGTGGTGGGACCATATCTAAAATTCACAAGGAATTCAAAATTGGCAAGATAAACATTCATAGGGCTTGATGTTAAACACACACACACACACACACAAACAAGCCCATGTATATATGTTTCTTTCTCTTAAACTCAGAGATAAGGTCAAGAGGACAACTCTTATCTTTCAATGTCACACAAAGGCATTATGTAACAAGTCCATTCAAGTGCAGATCTGTATCCTATAAACGGTAATGTGATTTTACTTCCCTATAACACTAACCAATTCTGCAATCAAGCCTAGCAATCCATAATATTTTGTTTACTTTCTTAATTTCCTTCTTACAGCCAATTTTACAGATTTCCTGCTTATTAATTAGCCCAATAAAAACTTTTAACATGCGTACAGTCTACATTTGTATGGGTCATGTGTACCTTTAGCAAAATACTCATACCAAGTTGTTTTATTTCTTCAATAAGGGCATGTTTAAATGGTTTCTTATCTTACCCTGAATGATGATCAAACAATATAAGAAAGGAAGGATATGCCTACGAAATGAAGCAAGTCATAAAATAATTATTTACTGCTCAGGAAGAAAGCATGCTTTATTTAATGTTTTACGGAAACAGCCATTAGGACTTCAGGTAGGAGGTTAACTAATAGCTTCCTCTATATATCTGTTAATATTCAGATGCCAAGAGGCAGAGGATGGGAAATCAAAAAGTCTCCATTATCTCCATAAAAGTTAGCAGCTACTTAGACATCCCATATTTCATAAGACAGTTTCATTTCCTCCCAAGTATTTACAGATTAGGCTTAGACCTTCCACACAACCCACAGAATGGTAGAAATCAGAAAGCAAAGGTTCTGATGGCATGAGGTATATTGTCAGGATGAGCACAGAACCACTATAGGAAAGAGTCTTAAAGGACACCCTTACCCTGCAGACTGACATCTGGTTTGTTGTAAGTGTGCCAGTCTTGTCTGAGCAGATAACAGAAGTACAACCAAGAGTTTCCACAGAAGGGAGGCTTCGGACAATGGCATTCTTCTTTGCCATTCTGCGAGTTCCAAGAGCCAGGCAGGTGGTGATGACAGCAGGCAGACCTTCAGGGATGGCTGCAACAGCCAGGGCCACTGCAATCTTAAAGTAGTAGATAGCACCTCTGATCCAGGAGCCACCGTGAACTGGGTCATTAAAGTGCCCAATATTTATGATCCAGACTGCAATGCAAATAAGGGAAATGACTTTGGAAAGCTGTTCCCCAAACTCATCCAGTTTCTGCTGAAGGGGTGTTCTCTCCTGTTCTGTTGCAACCATTTCATCCCGGATTTTGCCGATTTCAGTGTTGACTCCAGTTGCCACCACCACTCCCATGGCTTTCCCAGCAGCAATGTTTGTACCCTAGGGAGAAGTAGAGAACTGGTCACATTCCAAATTAAATACTGATCAGTTAACCTAGACCCTGGATTTTGACCATGACCCCCAGATTCTCTCACCATGTTCTACTAGGCCTTCTCAACTGTGAGTGAGCAATGCCTCTTGAAGGCACCAAGGTACTTGCCCAAACCTGGCCTGGATTCCAGGCAGTGCCTAGTTAACCCAGAGCAGCAATGTGCTGACCCACTGGATCTCTGTTCACAAGATGCAGCCTAGTTTGCAGGCCTTGGGCTTGGCAGCACTCCAACCATTCCGTGTTCCCAGGTTCTCAAACTCCACAACTCTTAACTCTATGCTTTCTTCATTTCCAGCTCCAACAGCTCAGGCTCTCCTACTTTTGTCAGCTATGATAAGAAGGGCAACCAGCCCCACAGGCTATCTGGAGGAGCTGTACTTAAGCACCAGAATTCAAAAGTCAACAAATTCAAGTGTCAGTGTCCTCTCCCTATTTCACTTTAATTCCTAGCATTGAAATGATATGGCTTACTTTTACTATAATTCATTATTTTTACTTACATTGGCTAAACTCTTATTAACACATAAAATTCCATCATTTGAAATATCACTCTAGATTCCACAACCAAAATCCCCGCATTTCTATGGTATTTAAGAATTAAATATTACAATTAACATTCACCTACCTGTCACCTAGACTGAAAGGTTTGCCTGTTTGTACTTTCTGCAAACACACACCTTTTCTTTGTGAGCCAGAAAGAATAGCAGCAGCAACAGCACCTACACCATTCTGAAAACACTCTCTGCAGGCTAAGGCTTCTCCAAACAAACCTATTTTTTCAATTATGTTTATAGAATTTCACCATGTTTGACCTAATCTTTTTTTCTTCCCTCAAAACTTGCCAATCAAAACAAAAGACAGCATTCCACAACTGGGTTATTGTTGGATTTTTTTTTTTTTTCTTTTTTTTTGGTGATAGATTGAAGTCAGGGCCTCTCACATGCAAAGCATGTGCTCTACCACTGACTACACCCAGAGCACTATTATTGATGTTTTCTGACAGCTGAGACTAACCATAAGAGTGTAATTATCCTTTGGAATAATACCCAATATTTTCTAAAGCCGTTGAAGGCAGCCAGTGAAAAACAACATCCATGGATCTTTAAAAGTCCAGGTATGTCTCCAGGTAAAAATATATTTGAGCCAGATGTTGTGGTGCATACCTATAATCCCAGCAGCTAGGGAAGCTGAGGCAGGAGACTGTAAGTTGGAGGCCAGCCTGGACAGTTTAGTGAGGCCCTAAACAACTCAATGAGACCCTGTGTCAAAGGAAAAATGGCTAGGGATGTGGCTCAGTGACTCAATCCCCAGTACATAAAATAAAATAAAATACAGAGGGAAAAGATGTAGCTCAGTGGCACAGTGGGTGCTCAGCATGTGTGAGGCCATGGTTTCAATCTGCAGCACCACCAACTCTCCCCACCTCCCCGGAGGAATATGATAGGGTACTCACAGAAAACAGCATATTCTTTTTATCTTGGTTGACAGCCCGTGGGTCAGGGACAGGGTCGGTGTGCTTAATAACTGAAACAGACTCACCTAAGCAGGTTGTGAGACAGAAGATACAGTTAGATCTGGCACCCCCAGAACCCGGGAACCCTCATCCATGCCAACCCATTACCATTTTAGGGATATTATCAACTTGGGAAAAAGAACATAAGGTCCAATCCACTAAAAAGGGGCAAACTACGATAATTTAGAAATGGAAATTCCAGAATAAAGAATGTGAAGATAAAGTAATTTTAATTTCAAAATAAATGAGCTAAATTTTGAAATAAAATCCCAATCATATTTATTTTCTGGAATAACTAGTGGAATTAATTTACTACCCTATACACTATTATGAATCTGACAAAAGATATGGTTCCTCATTTGGCCTAATCCTATAGTATTACAGATTATTTAACAAGACACTCTGAAGCATTTTAAAACAGCAACTGTTAAGGGAGACCCACCCTGAGAATTTCATGCCTTCAACCCAATCATTTCCTTAACATTTTATGGCTTAAATGGCTTGAGCTTGTTGCTGCTAATGGGAGTTTAGATAAGCTATTCATGTAACAAAACAATTAAAATTAGGAGCCTAGGTTACTCATTCATGGTATCTATGACATTAGTTGCTTTTAAAAACTGATAATCAGATAACTCTTGGTAGCCTTTAGATTTTATATTTACTAGCTATTTAATTCAGGTTAGCATTGTATTCAGAGTTAATCTTCTGACAACCTTACTTCCAGTTAATTGGAACCCTCCACCCTAAATTGTGCCTTTATCACACAAAGAAAGGAAAATGTTAAAAAAAAAAAAAAAAAAAAAAAATCACAAACCTAGGAATGCAAACTCCAGGTAGCTAAATAGTTGCCTTTTTTGGCTCACAGTTATTAATTGTACCTTTGCTTATTGCAAAGTATGTAGATGCAAGATTAGTACTCCTCCAACGGGAAAAAACATCTCAGCACTGAATCAGTCACTTTCCACAAAATAGGGAAACTTCAAAATCTCAGATTATTACTCTCAATTAATGAGGAATTTGTAACCTTTTTTTAAAAAGTAAAATTGATTTTATTTTAAAACCAAAACTTTTTTTTTGTTTTGTTTTAATAGCCGGGCACACCTGTAATCCCGAAGCTCAGAAGGCTGAGACAGGAGGATGGAGAGTTCAAAACCAGCCTGAGTAACAGCGAGGTGCTAAGCAACTGTGAAATCCTGTCTCTAAATAAAATACAAAATAGGGCTGGGGATGTGGCTCAGTGGTCAAATGCCCCTGAGTTCAATCCCTGGTCCCCCCGCGACCCCCGCAAAAAAAAAAAAAAAAAAAAGTCAAAGCCCTAAGAAAACAAATATTGAAGAAGAGAGAATTAGGGTGAAATATCATAAGGGACAGTGGGCAAGAGCTAACTCTATTAGCATGGGAAATGAGAGGATTGAGCAATGTCAGTGACTTTCCAATATGCTAATACTTACCAGTGAGAATCGACTGGTCAACTCTCAAAGTTGTCGATTTGATGGAAGTCAATCTTATATCAGCAGGAACTTTGTCACCAACTAAGGGAAGGAAGAGATAAAGTGAGCAAGTTTTGCCACAGTTACAATTATAACCATATTATAATTTTACTTCAAATCAAACATAATTCTTAAAGAAAATAGTCTATATACAGTACAAAATACAAAAGTCATTAAAACAATCAAATGATCAACCTATCTCAAGTTCATAAAAACTGTGATAGTGGCACTCTGAGGCTGTGGCAGAGTGCTAAGGCCAGCCTGGGCAACTTAGCAAGACCCTGTCTTAAAATAAATAAGGGCTGGGGATGCAGCTTAGTGGTAGAATATTCCTAGATGAGGATCGCAAGTTCACAGAAACTTGAGAGGAGCTAAGGAACTCAGTAAGACCTAGTTCCCCACCCCACCCCCAATCAATCAATTTACCTCCAGTTAAAAAAAAAAAAAAAAAGTTTGGCTACATACATGCTCATATAGGCTACCAAGCTTTCACTGTGTAATATAAGTAAGGTATTTTCTTAGGCTTCCTATATCTTGTGATTCAGTTCATCAGAACAGTTACATTATTATGAACAGGAAACAGATGGTTTTCCAAAAAGATGCTCAATTAACCTCACATAAGATAATTCAAAAATAAATCTGGAGCCGGGCACAGTGGTGCATGCCTATAATTCTAGCAGCTTGGGAAGCTGAGGCAGGAGGATTGTGAGTTCAAAGCCAGCCTCTGCAAAGGTGAAGCACTAGGCAACTCAGCAAGACCCTGTCTCTAAATAGAACACAAAATAGGGCTGGGGATGTAACTCAGTGGTGGAGTGTCCCTGAGTTCAATCCTCAGTACAAAAAAAAAAAAAAAAGTACAGGGCTGGGGCTGTAGCTCAGCAGTAGAGAGCTTGCCTAACATGTGTGAAGCACTGGGTTCAATCCTTAGCACCACATAAATATAAACAAATAAAATAAAGGCATCCTATCCATCTACAACTACAAAAAAATTTTTTTTTAAAATCTGTACAGACACTACTTTTTAACTATGAATCTAATAAACAAAAACTGTTAATGTGGGAAACACTCATGTAATATCAACAGGCACATCTGGTATTTACAACTCCCTTCCGGACTTTGTGATCACCCTGTATGTGTGCTACTGGTCAAAGAGGAAGGCTGCAAAATTTGGCAGGCAAACTGGCAATATATATCCAAACTGCAAAGCACAACATTTTTACCCCATAACTCCATCCCTCTCCCATACCGGGGATTAAACCCAGGTGAAGCCACCAGAGCCATATCCCCAGTCCTTTTTTCTATTTCGAGACAGGGTAGTCCTCCTCTTTAGCCTCCTGAGTGGCTGGGATTATAGGCATGCATTACCATACCCCTTTTACCCCAGTTCTCCTACAGGAATTTACCCTATTGACACTGCTCACAGAGCACGTGTTTAATTCACAGCAGTCTTTTGGTAATAGACTCTGCTAACAATAATGTGAAAACTTCCTCTAAGACACACTGCACACTGAGTATATTTTAGATGTGAGTGATGTATATGGGGCTGCCAGTGGCATAAGAAAATACCTCTGGGAAGGTGTTGACAAACTGGAAACACTGGGGCATGGGTGGAAGGAGACTTTCTCACCTTATTTGCTCTGGTACCTTTTGAAAAGTGTATTATCACAAATTAATAAAACTTTTGCATAACTTGAAAAAGATCTTTTAGTCAACTGAACTTTCTTTCCTGGGCTAAAGAATTCCTTTAATAACTCTTTAAAGGGACCATATCTTAATCCCTGGAGGCTGGAGCATCTCAAGTTCCAGGCCAACTTCAGCAACTGGGCAAGATTTTCTCTCAAAATAAAAAATAAGGGCTGGGATGCAGCCTGGGTTCCATCCCTAGCATGTTGGCGGAGGTGGGTAGTAGAATGTAGGGGGCTGGGAGTGCAGCTCAGTGGTAGAGTGGCACAGGCCCTAGGTACTAGGATTCCACCCCTAGTACCATCATCCCAGAAGTGTAAAACAGCTTTCCATGACTTTCTGAAACCGGCATGGTTTTATAAGTATTAATGTAAAAACCAAAAATTAAAATTTAATTTGTAATTCTAGGGAGATTTATTCTAAAGTCAAAACTTCATTTTTCTAGACTTATTCTATATATTGAATTATTATTGTCACTGGTTATATGTAACGTAACAAAATAGTCATCCTGTTTAAGAAATAAATTTTGAAGAGAAAAAAGGTAAACACTGGACTTGTTAAATCTACAATTTAGTTTCAAATTTACACTTCAGAGTTTTTAAGAATATGATTTGCTTTTTTACCTTTAGTGCATGAAACAACATTGCAGTAGGCAATGTGATCGCAAAATGGCACAGAAAGAGTAATACATAATCTCAAGAGGCAAAGATCATCCTAGCATTTGACTGCAGGGGACACATACGTTGAGGTGAAATTCCTGCTGGAAATGCTTATGCAATGAAGAGCAATATTCCAAATGAATAAACCAGAACCTTTCATTTTAGAAAATTTAAAATTCTGTGCATGCTATGATGAAGGGTACACATCTAATGGATAAAGAAATAGCTAGCACAGATGGGGTCCTGGGTTCCATGCCCAGCACCAAAACAAAGCAATTGACACAGGAGAAACTGTGCTCTTCTCAAGCCAAAAAAAATTCCACATATAATCCTTAGTTCAGGCTCTCATATACATGACCCAATTTTTAATGTACTTTTTAAAAATTATTTTTTGGTGGATACAATATCTTTATTTTATTTTTAGGTGGTGCTGAGGATTGAACCCAGTGCACCTCATGCATGCTAGGCGAGCACTCTACCACTGAGCCTCAACCCCAGCCCCTGACTCATTTAAGACCAGCAAAGCTAGTATGCAAATTAGGGGCCAACTATAAAAGGATGCAAAAGCAAATGCTGGGCTTGTTTTGCTGAATTTCAGTATAAGAGCAGAGTTGTGGTTTTTTGTTTTTTGTTTTGGTGTGTGTGTGTGTGTTGCTAAGGATTGAATCCAAGGCCTAGTGCATGCAAGGCAAGCACTCTACCAACTGAGCTGTGTCCCTACCCCTAAGAGCAGAGGTTTAGACAAACAGAAAACATTTTTTTTTTTTGAGGCAATAAATACCAAAGTTAATTTCCAGGGTAATACATATAGTCATATTATCTATTAGGGTGGGACCAATACCACATTTGCTGCATGAAAAATACTTATATTGATGTTATAAATTAACCATCTAGTCTTCCTCTAAAGGTTGGGTTAAATATATAAACAGTGTCTTTCTTTGCTGTATACAAAGTTATATTGTACACATTTAACTTTGACCCAATATTGAGAAATGAATGCCTCAAATGTTAAAAGAACAGACAATGGGGAAAACCCTTAAAAATTGCCTTCAATTCTTCTCAACCTTTTTTCCATCTCACAAATTAGAATGGCAATTAAGATGGGCATGGCAAGGGCCTGTAATCCCAGCTATTTAGGAGGCTGAAGTAGGGCTAAAGTTCCAGACTAGCCTAAGCAATTTAGGAAAACCCTGACTCCAAAAAAAAAAAAAAAAAAGCAGGGGATGTGGTTTGGTTCAGTGATAAAGTGCCCCTGGGCTAAATTTACCCCAGCACCCATGCACAAAAGGCAATTAAAATTTAGTGACTGAAAGTCAATGGGGGACTCAGCAGCACACACCTGAAATCCAGTACTCAGGAACCTAAGGTAGAAGATTTTTTAAGTTGTAGATGAACATAATACCTTTATTTATTAATCATATGTGGTGCTGAGAACTGCCTCACACATGCCAGGCAAGTGCTCTACCACTGAGCCACAACCCCAGCCCTCCCAGGCAGAATGATCTTAAATTGGAGGTCAGCCCTGTCAAATTAACAAAATTCTCTTAAAGGGGGGGAGGACTGGGGTTGTGGTTCTGCAGTATCTCCAGTCCTATGACTCACACACCCCCACCCCCGCAAAAAAATTTTGAGGCAGGGTTTTGCCAAATAGCTAAGTTGCTTAGGGCCTCCCTAAATTGCTGGTGCTGGCTTTGAACTCACAATTCTCATGCCTCAGTCTCTGGACTGCTGGGATTACAGGTGTGCACCACCACACCTGGCTAGGACTCCCTTTTCAATGCATTTGGAGTAGGACCTAGGACTTCACACATTTTAAATTTTTCCAAAAATCACTAAAAAAATTAACACAAGGGAAAAGCGCACAACCATAGATCAGATGTGTGAAGGGCTTGTTTAGAACAGCCTCTACTGTATGCTGCTTCCACTGTACTAGGACATTAGCTCTACTCTTAGAATATCTGACTTCTCAGCATTTGAGAAACTACTACTTAAAAATTATAGATTGCTATTTCCATTAGAAGCTGACCTCTTTGTAGAAAGGCGCCAAAGCAGCATGAACCTAGTTTTTTTAAAATATATTTTTAGCTGTAGATGAACACAATAACTTTATTTTATTTATTTTATGCAGTGCTGAGAATTGAACCCAATGCCTCACACATGCTAGGCAAGCGCTCTGCCACTGAGCCACCCCCTAAACAGGTTTTTCAATCTTCTTGCTCAACTAATCCAACACTTCAGTTAACTGTGCTGTGGGGCTCTGCTTCACTCTTTCTGTTGGTAAGTCTATTTAGAATGGTTTGACCATTAGGAAGCAGGTTTTCTTAAGGAGTTAAAAGGACCCATGGAATACTTTTCAAAGACAACAATTTCCTTTTGTTCTGTGAATTATAGACAGAGGGTTTGTGCCTGAGGAGCAGGCAGTATTGTTCTGATGATCACATCCAGTAATATTTCCCTGATGGGGCATGTCAATGCCCTCAGGGCAAGCGGTAGTGGAAAATTCTTCCTCTTGCCAAGAGAAAGCTATGCAAGTTTTTCCTCCAAAATTGTTTTTCTGTCTCTTTGGATTAAGGGAGGTATAATAAAAGAATATCTGTTATTAAACTACCTTCCTTTAACACTTTTTAAACTCAGCTATCTTGCTCCCTCAGTTCATACCTCTTTTCTTTGCCAACACAATAAAGGTTTCCACTTTAAACA